TGTCATAGGGGTGCTGGCAGATTGACGGGCCTCACCAGCAGCTGCTGCCTTCCGCCTGTATCCTATGGGCCCCCTGTACCGCCCTCCTCAAGCTGCTCCAGGTCCAGTCTGTCTCTCATGGGTCCCTGTACAGCCTCCCATTGCTGCTGTCTCCATCGACACACTCTTGCCATGTTGCATCTTTCCCTTAAAGGTAATTTTTGGAACATAGGTGGGCAATTACGGCCTCTCCTTGCATACACTGCCTGGTGTATTCCATTTTTTTGTCATTGTCGGTTGCTGGCCCTGTAGCGACCCTTTAGCGCGTGCCTTCCCATTGCTGGCCAAGTGCCGGACACCCGTATTACAACATTTCTGCCATGGGCCTAGGGTACACGCCTGTCCTCATGCTGCTGCCAGGTCCACAATCGCCTCATGGGTCCCTGTGCACGGCCTCCCCAGTGCATGCTGTCTCCATCGCACTACACTTGCCATGTACCCACTTAATTCAGGTCTCCTCACACTGCTGGTGTGATTCCATTTTTTGTTTGACTTTGGGTGCTGGCAGATTACGGGCCTCCCTTTGCTGCTGCCAGGGCCCGTAATCTGCCCATGGGCCCCGAAAGTACCGCCTCCTCCATGCTGCTGACCCAGGTCCAGCAGTCTCTCATGGGTCCCTGTACGGCCTTTCCCATTGCTGCTGTCTCCATCGCCACACTCTGCCATGTGCCACTTTCAGGTCTCCTCACACTGCTGGTGTGTTACAATTTTTGTCATAGGGTGCTGGCACAAGATTACGGGCCTCCCCATTGCTGCTGCCAGGCCCGTAATCTGTTTCCATGGGCCCCTGTACCGCCTCCATTCATGCTGCTGCCAGGCCTGCCACAGTGTCTCATGGGTCCCTGTACGGCCTCCCATTGCTGCTGTCTCCATCGCCACACTCTGCCATGTGCCCACTTTCAGGTCTCCTCACACTGCTGGTGGGTTCCATTTTTTGTCATAGGGTTGCTGGCAGATTAGGGCCTCCCATTGCTGCTGCCAGGGCCGTAATCTTCCATTGGGCCCCTGTACCACCTCCTCATGCTGCTTCCAGGTCCAGAGTGTCTCTTCTCATGGGTCCCTGTACGGCCTCCCATTGCTGCTGTCTCCATCGCCACATCTCTGCCATGTGCCACTTTCAGGTCTCCTCACACTGCTGGTTGGGTTCCATTTTTTGTCATAGGGGTGATGGCAGATTACGGGCCTCCCATTGCTGCTGCCAGGCCCGTAATCTGCCATGGGCCCCGTACCGCCTCCTCATGCTGCTGCCAGGTCCAGCGTCTCTCATGGGTCCCTGTACGGGCCTCCCATTGCTGCTGTCTCCATCGCCACACTCTGGCCATTGTGCCACTTTCAGGTCTCCTCACACTGCTGGATCGTGTGTGTTCCATTTTTTGTCATAGGGTGCTGGAGATATTACAGGCCTCCCTTTGCTGCTGCCAGGGCCCGTAATCTGCCGTTTGGGCCCCTGTACCGCCTCCTCATGCTGCTGCCAGGTCCACAGTCTCTCATGGGTCCCTGTACGGCCTCCCATTGCTGCTGTCTCCATCGCCACACTCTGCCATGTGCCACTTTCAGGTCTCCTCACACTGCATGGTGTGTTCCATTTTTTGTCATAGGGTGTGATGGCAGATTACGGGCCTCCCATTGCTGCTGCCAGGCCCGTAATCTGCCATGGGCCCCAGTACCGCCTCCTCATGCTGCTGCCAGGTCAGAGTCTCTCATGGGTCCCTGTACGGCCTCGCCATTGCTGCTGTCTCCATCGCCACACTCTGCCATGTGCCACTTTCAGGTCTCCTCACACTGCTGGTGTGTTACATTTTTTGTCATAGGGTGCTGGCAGATTACGGGCCTCCCCATTGCTGCTGCCAGGCCCGTCATCTGCCATGGGCCCCTGTAACCGCCTCCTCATGCTGCTTCCAGGTCCACAGTGTCTCATGGGTCCCTGTACGGCCCTCCCCATTGCTGCTGTCTCATCGCCACACTCTGCCATGTGCCACTTTCAGGTCTCCTCACACTGCTGGTGGGTTTCCTTTTTTGTCATAGGGTGCTGGCAGATTACGGGCCTCCCATTGCTGCTGCCAGGCCCGTAATCTGCCATGGGCCCCCGTACCGCCTCCTCATGCTGCTGCCAGGTCCACAGTGTCTCATGGGTCCCTGTACGGCCTCCCATTGCTGCTGTCTCCATCGCCACACTCTGCCATGTGCCACTTTCAGGTCTCCTCACACTGCTGGTGTGTGTTACATTTTTTGTCATAGGGTGCTAGCAGATTACGGGCCTCCCATTGCTGCTGCCAGGCCCCGTAATCTGCCATGGGCCCCGTACCGACTCCTCATGCTGTGACGTTGCAACACTAGGTGGAATTCACACCTACATATGTGTGACCGCCTTTACGAAACAGCGAGAATCCGTTGGCCATCACAGATTTCCTGATGTTACAAGCGGAATAAAGGTACTCCCCTGTGTGTAACTTCGATGTCAGCCATTGGCAGCTCATGAGCGTGACACCTGCCGCTTGCTCAGGCCCGTTTGAGGAGGCCACGCTATTCGTTGAGTCGGCAGGACTATGGGATGAACGACGTCATTCCTCTGTTTGCACGTCCTGGAACAAATGCTGTTAACATGGCTGGTCAGGGTGCGGTAGACGTGGCGCACAGATCTCAACGCCACATGACCCCTGTGGGGGCAGGACAGGAAAAGAAGAGGAGGAGGTAGAGGAGGACATTGGTGCTCAGGAATTATTGAGTGAGTGAAATGGGTGGTTTTTCCACTCAGCGGACAGGAGTGGAGGAGCAGGAGCATCTGGTAGAGGAGGAGGAGGAGGAGACAGAGGACCCAGACGCCACCGTGGCAGTATGCTGTGGAGATGGAGGCAGGGAGTCCCTCGCATTCCTTGGCACAATATGGGCCCATAGGCTATGCTCGGTTGCTTGCGTAGCGACAGCCGAATAATAACCATCAGGACAGAGGGATGACTTTTGGCTGTCCACCTTGTTGGACCCTCGCTACCGTTCAAAAATGGTGGCCTTTTTCACACCTGCTTGAGAGGGAGGGCCAAAATAAAGTACTATAAAAACCACCTATATAGTCAGCTGGTCTCTGCCTTTCTGCGCCAACGTCCATCCTCAGACACTGTGGGCCCTGTGCGCTCGCGTTTCCGCTGCCATGGCAGCAGGGGAGGGGTAGGGGGGGGTGGTAGGAGCAGTGGCAGCTCCATTCCACCAGCAGCGGCTGCCTCAGTCTGCAGTCGATGATGAGTAGCTTTCTTCACCAGCGCAAGTGAGGAAACTACTAACCAGCCGCAGCAGCAGCAGCATCAGGTGGACCTGGAGCAGGACCTCAAACAACAGGCTTGGGCCTACTTGGACAGCACCCTGCCAACCGAGGTAGACAATCCCCTTGACTACTGGGCAACGAAACTTGACCTTTGGCCCCAACTAGCTGAATTTGCCCTTGAAAGGCTGTCATGCCCGGCCAGTAGCGTGGCATCGGAGCGCGTGTTTAGTGCGGCAGGAGGTATTGTAACTCCGCGGAGGACACGACTGTCCACCCAAAGTGTGGAGAGACTCACGTTTGTGAAAATGAATCAGGCGTGGATTAGTCTGGATTTCAAACCACCAGTTCCTGACACAACTGACTAAATCCGCCATGAATCATGCCCCAAACATGTGCCACTTTCAGGTCTCCTCACACTGCTGGTGGGTTCCATTTTGTCATTAGGGTGCTGGCAGATTACGGGCCTCCCATTGCTGCTGCCAGTCCCGTAATCTGCCATGGGCCCCTGTACCGCCTCCTCATGCTGCTGCCAGGTCCAGAGTGTGTCATGGGTCCCTGTACGGCCTCCCATTTGCTGCTGTCTCCATCGCCACACTCTGCCATGTGCCACTTTCAGGTCTCCTCACACTGCTGGTGTGTTCCATTTTGTCATAGGGTGCTGGCAGATTACGGGCCTCCATTTGCTGCTGCCCGGGCCCCGTAATCTGCCATGGGCCCCTGTACCGCCTACTAATGCTGCTGCCAGGTCCAGAGTGGTGTCATGGGTCCTGTGCGGCCTCCCCATTGCTGCTGGTCTCCATCGCCACACTCTGCCATGTGCCACTTTCAGGTCTCCTCACACTGCTGGTGGTTTCCATTTTTGTCATAGGGTGCTGTATGGCCTCCCATTGCTGCTGCCTCCACCGCCACACTGTGGCTCCACACTCTGGTTGTTTTGGCCCCGTGACTGCCCAAATGAGTGAAGTGTGCGGTGATTCTAAGATCGACGGCACTCATCTGCATGTCATACTGACTGACAGTATTATTTCTCTTCCCAGCAGACTCCAAGGGCATTTAAATTAAAGGTACAGTGTTCTGCACTAATATAAAGGCTCTCTGAAGCCTAGAAACACCCTTTTATAAGTTAAAATCGCAGCGAATATATTCGCATCGAATCGAATTTATCAGCACTGTGCACGGCTGCATCTCATCTCCCCTCACTTCCTCTTCAAACATGGACTCGAACAACAGCAGGAACCATTGGCTCTTGCTGCTGTCAATCAAATGTGGTGAAGATTAAGTGTGTGTGTGGGGGGGGCTAAGTCCCGCTGTGTGTGTCTATGGAGAGCGGCTTGGTAGACACACAGGTCAGGATCGAGCACGCAGCATGTGTCCCCTAGCAAATGGCTTGCTTGTGGGGACACACAAAGAAGAGGAGGAGCCAGGGTTCCTGGCGGGGGACCCAAGAAGAGGAGGAGCGGGTGAGTATAACATGTTTGCTATTTGAATTGTTTTTAAATATGACATTAGTAACACTATGTGTGAGACATTAGGGGTAACTTCACTTACGTGAAAAAAAATAGAGCAAATAAATAAATAATACAGAATATACAAATGCCATACAAATCATGTTATTATTTAATGATATTAATTGCTTCCGCACCACCCTATAGAAGAAATACTGCTACAGGGTGGCATGGGTGCTGCCAAATCATGTATATATACGTGATTTTGCATTTCCGGGTAGAGGGGCGCGCACAAGCACCCTACACGCGCCGCATTCTCGGTCGTGGCTGTCAATCACCGGGTCCCGGCCGGTGATTGCCGACAATCACTGACGGGGAGGAGGGCTGCTTTATTTACTAACAGTCCTCCTCTCTGTCAGTTTGGGCATACTGCTCTGGATGGCTGTGCACAGCCATCCAGAGCAGTGTGCTTACAGTGAAGCACACACCCCCTGCCCCCTAGTAAAACACTCCCAGCACACAGTTATCCCTTTGATCACCCCTCATGTTAACCCCTTCCGTTCCAGTGCCATTAGTACATTGTAAGTGCTTTATTTTTAGCACGGATCACTGTATTGGTGTCACTGGGGATGTCAGTGACACCAAGTCAGTTCCGCCCAGTCTCAGAATACCTGCCGCAGTCCCGCAATAAGTCATTGATCACCACCATTATTAGTTAAAAAAAATTTAAATTCCAGTATCTTTACCGCCATTTGTAAATGCTATAATTTTCACATAAACCAATTAATTTACATGTATTTGGATTTTTTTTTAGCAAAGACGTAGCAGAATACATTTTAGCCTAACTTTATGCCAAAATTTGATTGTCTAAATTTTTTTACTGGGCATGTTTAACTACTTCCGCACCGCACTATAGTAGAAATACAGCTACAGGGCGGCACAGGTGCGCAAAATCATGTGTGCTGTGATTTGATCCCCGAGGGATCAATCATCCGATTTAGCTGATCACTGTATTAGTGTCGCCGGCGACTTCAGATAGCGTTAACATTAGTTAGCACCCCTCCCAGATAGTTTCAGATTACCTGTCAGCACACCAGTAATAACATTTAACTCCTTGATTGCCAGGAAACCGCTCATACACAATAAACCTCCATTGCTAGTATAGTGTCTGAACGGATCAATATCTTCGATCAGGTCAGCACTATACCTGCATTCACATTAGTATAGTGTCCCCAAAAAGGCAGCATTATCGGGATCAGCCCCAGCACCTGCCAGCACCTGCGTTTAGACCCCTACGCTTACCCCCTGCCCCCTTCTCCCCCAGCAAGTGCACTGTCAGTAGGTCACTGTCACTTGATACATTGCACACAAAACCTAAGTGTTTGCAAAATCAGGCCTGATCTCTGTTAGCACTTGCCAGTAAATTTTTTTGCAGCAGTTCAAGCAGTCCCTGACAGCCAGGTGCTCTTTTTCCGTGAGTCGCAAAAGGTATCTATAAATTTAGTGGCCAAAATGTCAATTGAAAGGTACTCTGCCTCAGAATATGAACCTGTAGAGAGCAGCGGCTCCCTGACAGATAGCTCAGATGATGGAGAAGAGGTCCCTGCTAAGATCAGTCATACCTGACCCCGTTCCCAGGTTGCTGAGAAGTTACAATCGCATGATGACTCTCATATGCAGCAGAGTGCCAGTACTAGTACCGCTCTACCTTTTGGTGAACTGGCGAGCACCAGCGGCCTAGTACATCCTGGTCTTTCACATTCCAGCACTGCAGTATCACTTGGGGATGTGGTGAGTCCCATAAGTGCAGTACAAACTGGTGGCGAGCATTTGCACACAGTCCCGTAGAGCCCCTAGTATCCTTCCAGATATGGTTGCAAATCCCGACTGGTAGCCCACAAATTCTGCAGCACTCGTACTTCCCCCATTCACTGCCCAACCCGGAATTCAGGTGTGGAAACAGCAAATTTAAATACTCCCCTTGATTTTTTGGAGCTGTTTTTCACAGAAGATCTGTATGCATTGATTGTGGCTCAAAGCAAGAAATGCACAACAGTTTATTGCTGCCAACCCAAATTCAAACCTTGCCAGACCATTCGCATGGAAACCCATAACAGTTTCTGAATTTAAAGCTTTTTTGGGCCTAACCCTCAACATGGGCATTACTAAAAAAAAAAGGATTGCAGTTGTATTGGTCCACAGACCCGATTCATCATATGCCCATGTATTCTGCTGCCAAGGCCAGACATAGATATGAGAGTATAATGTGTTTTATCCATTTCGATGACAACACACTCTGTCCTCCTCAGCGTGACCCTGAACATGACCGACTCTACAAAATTCAGCCTCTCGTAAATCACCTTAACCAAACATTGCAGATGTCTATACTCCCCAGCAAAAAATTTGTGTTGATGAATCCCTCATTAAGTTTTCTGGCCGCCTTGCATTCAAACAATTTCTCCCCAGCAAGCATGCCGTATATGGGGTCAAGATGTATAAGACCTGTGAGAGGGCAACAGGCTATACATATACGTTTCGGATTTACGAGGGAAAAGATAGTCACGTGGAGCCCCCAGATGCCCAGACTACATGGGGAGTAGTGGCAAGATTATTATTATATTATTATTATACAGTATTTATAAATATAATAGTTCGCTCAGCGCTGTACATTACAAACATGTGACAGAACAATACCAATACAATGCAAAACATGAGGGGATTGAGGGCCCTGCTCTTTCGAGCTTACAATCAAGGAGGGAGGGGATGGTGGCACAGGAGGAGATAGCTGTGGGGGATGGAGTGGTAGGAAGAGTGGAGGAGGTCGGCAAGTTAGCAGGGGGTAGGGTAGGCTTCCCTAAAGAGATGGGTTTTCAGGGTGCGCCTAAAGGAGAGGAGAGTAGGTGATAATCTGATGGGTTGGGGCAGGGAGTTCCAGAGGATGGGTGACACCCTGGAAGAAGTCCTGGAGGCGGGCATGGGAGGAGGAGACCAGGGAACTAGAGAGAAGGAGGTCTTGTGAGGAGCGGAGTGTGCGTGCTGGGCGTACTTGGATATTAGGTCAGTGATGTAGTTCGGGGCAGTATGGTGGACAGCTTTGTACGTCAGCGTTAGGATTTTGAATTTGATCCGTTGCGCAATCGGAAGACAGTGGAGGGATTGGCAGAGGGGGGTGGCGGAGACAGAGCAGTTGGAAAGGTGAATGAGTCTGGCAGCCGTATTCAGGATCGACTGAAGCGGGGATAGCCAGCGGCGAGGCAGGCCAGGGAGGAGGGAGTTGCAGTAGTCGAGTCGTGATATGATGAGGGAGTGTGTCATGCCTTCAGCAATTTGTTCTTTGTTAATTAGGCATTATTAGTATGCCTTATCAGTTTGTAATTCTCTGTTCATTGTGTAACTGCTCCATCTAGTGGCTGTTTGTATACACTGCATCTTTTCACAGTAGAAGTTTGACCCATTTCATTCCATGGCTTGTAGCCTATGAACTCTGATTACATCATCAGCCCTGCTCATAGCAGCCATTTCCTCATCACAGACTCCATTCCTGTGGTAACCACGCTGCTGGTAGGATTCAACCCTCACATTCAGGCTCACAATAGCATCGTCGGTACGTCTACACACATGTCTATATCTTATGCATCTGTGTTTTATGTAACCTACATGTCTTACATGTGTTTATATGTGCATTGCCTTACTGTAATGTATAATATGCTTTGTCACATGGCAGACAGTGTTACTAAGCGCCTTATTTTCTGTTCCTCAGTTTCACCTCTTATATCTTTGCAATAAAGACAAAGTTGGACGTTGCTTCTTTGTCAACTCATTGCCGAGAAAGGTTTAGCTGTCTGTCAAGCTATGTACCTTCACACATAAGGAGGACAGAACAGTGAAACGACGGCTTCTTACAAGCTGGATACGAGGACTGCGACTCCTGAAGTCCTGACTGCAGTGAAACGACGGCTTCTTACAAGCTGGATACGAGGACTGCGACTCCTGAAGTCCTGACTGCAGCGAAACGGTGGCTTCTCACAAGCTGGATAGGAGGAACTACGCAGCATCGCCACCCGCAGCGGTTGCAAGTGTGCTAACCCGTTCACAGCATCATCATGTCAGCAAGGGAATCCGGACAGTTCGAGACAAGGTCTCGCATCTCAGTTAACTCCAGAGGCTCAGGGAGATCTTTGAGCAGCTCCACCGTCGCCATTGCCCGCGCGAAGGCCGAGGCCGCCAAAACCCGCGCGACATTTGCTGAACAAGAAAGACAATTAAAAATAGAGAAAGCATGCACGGAAGCAGCTCTAGAAAAGCTAACTGTGGAAAAAGAAGCTGCAGCTGCTGTAGCAGAAGCAGAGGCTTTAGAGGAAGCAGCAAACTTCACAAGCGATAGACTCAGCTACAGAAGTAGGCCTGAACCCAGTCTTCACAATAACTTGCAACGCACTTCAGATTACGTACTGCAACATGCTAAGTCAGAAGACGGCCTAAATCCAGGTCCAAGAGCGACATCAACCCCTGCTAAGGAGCTCCAACAGACTCCAGTCATACAACAAGCGACCTCAGTTAACCAAAGACCCTGCATGGAACAAGTCAACGGTTCCATAGGACATCAACCCTCAATGCAACCTGCATTCAAACCCACAAATGATCGCAGTATGGTCAAACCCTTTAAGGAAGAACAAGTAGATGGTGCCTATTACAGCAACAATCTGTCAAACAGAGATACAGGTATGTCAGATTTTCTAAAATTCTTTGCCCGACGTGAGTTAATAACCAAGGGACTCTCCAAGTTTAATGACAGACCTGAAAGCTATAGGTCATGGCGATCATCATTCAGGAATAATATCAGAGATCTGGATCTGTCTGCATGTGAAGAAGTAGATCTTCTTGTCAAGTGGCTAGGAAATGAGTCGACAGAGCATGCAAGGCGGATTAAAGACATTAATATTAACTACCCAATCAGAGGGTTAAACATGATATGGGAGAGACTTGAGGAGTGTTACGGCTCACCAGAAGTGATAGAGAACACACTTTTCAAAAGAATTGAGGATTCCCTAAGATCCAAAACAAAGATTCCCAGAAGCTAAGAGAACTGAGTGATCTGTTAACAGAGCTACAAGTTGCCAAAACTGAAGGAGACTTACAAGGTCTGGCATTCTTAGATACTGCACGTGTGTAAACCCCATAGTACAAAAATTACCGTACAACCTGCAAGAGAAGTGGATTGCTCAAGGCTCCAGGTACAAGCAACAGTACGATGTCTCGTTCCCTCCATTCTCTTTCTTTATGGACTTCGTGCACCAACAAGCAAAAACTAGGAATGATCCCAGCTTTAACTTCTCGATGTTTGACACCGCTTACCCCAAATCAGGTAAACCTATCTCACTTCGTAACATGAAAGGTACACCGGTTGCAGTACACAAAACCAGTGTGTCTCTTAAAGACTCCTCAAACAAACCTACAGTACTACAGAGTCTGAGACGATCTCCACAAAGGACCCATGCAGAGAATGTCCTCTACATAAGAAACCACACTCATTGTTGAAATGCAGAGGATTTAGGGAAAACTTCTCAGGGATCGCAGAACTTTCCTCAAGGAAAACCACATTTGCTACAGGTGTTGTGCCTCAACCTCTCATCTTGCAAAGGACTGCACAGCGAACATCAAATGCTCGGAATGCAACAGTGAAGCGCACAA